ACTCATTCCATTGGCAGATCATCTTATTTACCTGCTCAAATTAAGGGTAAATACACTTAATTTAAGACATTTTTTACTTATTTCTAGATGTTTTTTGCAGTGATCCTGTAAAAGATCTTCTTTAAGGAAACTATTCTATCCGATTATTAATCAAAGTGATAATAAACGGATTAATCGATGGTTAGTTGCAGCCCTATTCTCTTGTGAATTCCAGTGAAAACGTTACTTAAAATGTAACCTTTAATTATAGATTACACCATCAGCCCCACATAACACCCCTCTGCTATTATGTCATCATCTCACAAAATCTGAGTAATTAGCTGAGCAGGAGACCAAATAATAATGGAGGCTATCCTGGTTCCTCTGTGACCAGAAGATTCCAAACATACAATTCTGGCTCCATTACCTGCATTCCTCAGCAGGGGTGATAAAAAGCCACACGTTTCCCTGCAACACATGGAGATGTTTTCCCTTTGCACGCTCCGCTTCTAAATCTTCAGGGAAACAGATGTTGTGATGGTTCCACATCTGTTTTCACCTATGACTAACATCAGTTTCAGGTGGATCTATAACCATCCGTTTAGGTGTTTTGGAAAAGCCTTTCAGCAGAGAAGGGGGTGCAGTTATAGAGCAGGGTGTTTATCCCTGATCAAGCGCCTTGGTCACTGAATGCTGCCCGGCTGCTGCTCGCCGCAACCTTAGGGAGGGGTTAAATGCAGGCGGCACACTTCTTCACCATCTACGGGTGCAAGAAAATATAAGGATGCAGGAACAATCAGGATGAGAAGAGTTAGCGTCTCTGTGTGGCAATAGGTCGACTGAAACTGAGAAGAACAGTTGGACTCTGCCATCATGGATGGAAAGAGAGTGATTGGACGTTTCTCAGTGTGGGTACTTGTGCGTTCTTGTTTGCTCGTGAAACGTCATCAGTCCAAGCAATGTTCCGATTCACAAGAACAGCAGACCCTCTTTACCCAGCATGCATCAGAGCAGACTCGTCCGTTCTCCAGACTGACAGCTGTCCCAGCATGCAGCCTCCCATTATCTTTAAATCGGTAGTTAAACAGACTACTCCATGCTTTCTCAACCTTTTGAATACCAAAATAATAAGAATCAGAAAGAAACACTGATTTGGTCGAAGCAATGCTGATGAAAACATGAGATTATCGTCTGCATAGAGGATAAACAGGACTTACGTCTCTGGTAGATGCTGCGGAGTTCCTGCTCGATCCTCAGGCAGATGGACTGTGTCAGCTCCTTGGAAATTCTTTGGAAAGCGTCAAAGTCCTCCACCGTGTACACATGAGTCTCTGCAGGCTCATTAGCGATAGCTTCAAGTTCACTTCGTACGGCGTCTTTAACACCCACAGCAAAGATCTCCACATCAGCATTCCTCAGCTTGGTGGCCGGCTCTTTGAAAGCGTCGGACGACTTTCCGTCGGTGATGAGGATGGTGACTCGGGGAACGTTGGCTCGTGCGCCCCTGTTGGTCTGGAAGATCTCTTCCCTTACGTAGGTCATGGCTCTGCCGGTGTTGGTAGAGCCGCCTCGATATGGGAAAGATCTAACAGCCTTGACCACGCCGTTGACGTTTTGATGAGTGTTTAGGTAGAACTCTGTAAAGGAGTCCTTGCTGTACTGCACCAAGGCAATCTGAACCTTGTTTGGTCCGATGTCAAAGGTGTTCACCAGGACTTCAAGGAAAGCTCGAACTTTGGCAAAGTTTTTCTTTCCAATGCTGTAGGATCCATCCACCAGAAGCACCACATCGGCCTGCACATCCACACCCAGAGAGCACTCTGGAAGGAAAAACAATACCATCAATTTTTGACTCATGAGTGTCGAAGTTACAAAGACATTTTGTTTTACTCACCCAGTGAAACTTTAACTGGCTCTGTTTTCTGCATGACCACCACAGCCTCGCTGGACAACAGGTCCTTCAAGCTGAAAACATTGACCTGGTACTCTGTGTCTGGAGAAAGGTCTTTGACCACAACCGAGGTCTGGGAGGAATCAACATACAGGTCCTGCTGCTTACTGCCGGCCATCATTGGGATCATCTGAACCCTGTAGCCTGAAATGTCACCAACTGAGGCATCCCAGGTCACCCTCATGGACTTGGAAGCCACCTCGAGGACTCGGAGGTTAGAGGCTGGATCCACAACTGCAAAGACGAAACAAAATGATGTTTTTTCATAGATGCGTCCACTAATGGTTGCCGCAGTGCAGGAGCTCATACTTAAAAACGTTACACAAATGTTATTAAAAAGACTTTTTCTTAAAATTATTAAGAGCTGAAAGTGGCTTTGGAGCCGCGGGTTGAGGAACCCTGGTCTAGAACATTTGAGACCTGTTCACAGAGACAGAGGCCGTTCCTTAATATGTGTACTTGTGCGTTCTCATGTGCTTGTGAAACATCATCTGCATCAGCCTCAACACTGTTCCAATTCACAGAAGATTCTAGATGTTGGAGCTTGGCCTGTTTTCCAGTGTAGTCCTGTTTCTCTGACTGTGACTA